TTTGAGCACAAGAGTATAAAATCTGACACTGCGTTGATCTTTCTTGTGTAGTTCTTTTGTGTATTCTTGCTACCTCTTCTTAATCACTTCTGCCTCTGTTAAGTAACAATCTCTAACAAGTTCACCATATTGAAAAAATGTCTAGTATGGGTCCTACTGTAGATTATTTTTGTTTCCCAAAAACTAGCTGTCTCCTTTGTGAAGAATATTTTGGGCATGGCAGCCCATGAAACGGTGCAGGGAATAGGGGACACCAACAGAAATAACCATTTCCTAAAGAATTTGTTTAATCAGTGTAAATCAGTTTCCATAACCAGATTAAAGATTCTAGCAACAGTCTAAGTCAGGAAATAGTTGATTTCCTTTCTTAGTAGAGAGATGTGACCACCAAGATAAATACCAATTTAGAATATAAACTTTTTCTAATGTCTTATGGAGAAGGATGGTCAAAGATTATGGAGGATATTGGCTCATGAAGCATCAGAAGCAGTGAAAGAAAAATAAGTTTATAGAAAGCTTGGTGAGAGATTTAGCTAAAGAAAATAATTCAGAAGGAACTTAAGGATGATCTGTAAGGAGAACATTAAATAGACTAAGATGGAAAAGTTCTATAAAAAGTATGATAATAAAATCTTTTTCTTCATCAATGATGGTGACATCACATTTGTATTGGTATTTCATTACCTTTTTATGTTTTACATAAGGAAAGAGAGTCAATATATCTGAAAGAGGGCAAGATAATAGTGGTGAAGGAAAATGTTTGAGCCTTATTGGATAAGATGGATTGAATTGAATAAGATTGAATTGAAATAGAATTCTGTAACCCTCTGGTAATAATAGAGAAGTGCGTGGTGAGTGACCTTGCTGCAACACATTACAAATGAGAAATCATGCGAGAAGAGCATTATAAAGAATGTCAGTCAGTCATCAATGAACAGAACATCTGTTAAGCACCTGCTGTGTGCCAGGCACTATGCCAGGCTCTAACGACACAAAGCTAAAAGTGAAGCATCTCTCAAGGAGCTTACATTCTCCTGGGGGAGACTTAGCTAGGAAAAAGGCCACTCATTTGGATAGCCAGCATGCTCCAGTGTTATCTTCATATCACCAATAGAGTGAGAGACAGGATTCCACAGCATATTAGGTGGATGCCTGAGGCATGCTCAAGATGGTAGTCAGCAAACATTTGTTAACTACTTTCTATATGTTTTGCATTGGGCAGACATGAATGCAGGTTGCCATCTATAGGGTGGGAGTCCTTTCATCTGTATGTACTGTTGGGATATTGGACTAAGATTTTGTGGCTTTAAGATTGAGGGATAAGGATTCTTTTTAAGCCAACAACTTAACTGTAGTATTGTGCTGAAATTCACCCTTTGCTAGCTCTTTAATTCAGTTTAATTCAGCTTAGTTCAGTGGGCATTTGTTAATTAATCAGTAGGTGTTTATTAAATTCTTACTGTGTGCCGGGCACTGTGCTAGAATCTAAAGACAGAGAGGAAACAGTCCGTGTGCTTAAAGGTTCGACCAGAGGGCAAACGCGCACACAGATTCATCAATACAGGCTACGCGACATATAAGCAGAAGGCAGTTTTTGGAAGGAAGGAGGAACACTGACAACTGGGAGGAGTGGGCTTCTTTCAGGCTGTGGCACTTGAGCTCCTAAGGGCAGTGGAGAGAGTGCGAGAGAGCGAGCTTTCTAGACACGCACAGAGACACAGAGAAGGCGCGTTGTCACCTTAAATGGAAAGCAGTGAGAAGGTCAAGAGTACGGAATGGGGAGTCGCAATGTGCAAGGCCGACCTCACAGGGTTGGTGGGAGAAAGGGACTTGACCAGGCCTGAAAAGCGCTCTGTTCATGTGAGCGGTGGTTGTTGTTTAACTTAAACGGGTGTAGAAAATGACTGCTTTCTAAAGGTGAATTCTGAATCGGGCAAAATAAATGGGCAACAGATTATTACAAGTTGCTGTCGTTTAGGTTATCGTCATTGTTCTGGTCAGTTTAGAGGCAGAAACTGATTGAACTTTGAAAGACAGGCGGGTAGGGACGCAGTATCCTCCAAGTGCAAATCGTGTAACTATTTATGGGACTGCATACTTTAGTGTTTTTGTAATTGCTTTGTACGTGACAAACGCAGATGTCAGTCGTCTAGAATATAAGTATGTTTTTGAACAAATGAAAATGTTTTCACATGGTCACATTAATTTAAAGCGCAGTGTTTCAACATTAAGTATTTGCTAATTTAATATAATTTCTGTTTTTACTTAGTTCTGTAGCTTATAATTTTTCAAATAAAAGGTATCAAGTGAGTCAAATGGTGGGATTTCATATTTTTTGCATATGTTAGATTTCTTTAGTAAGCTTCAAGAAGGAACCTAGATTTTACCTGATCTTTGAATTTCCACTATTAGAGCAGTGCTCTGTGTGTAGCAGGCACTTACCAGAGAAGTAAAATTGCTGCTATTTTTCCAATCCATGGGCATTCTGGTTTTCATTTTGGTCAGCCATCATTTGTGATTTCTTGTTAGGGCTCTTTTTTTGTTTGGTTGTGTTGTGTTTTGTTTTGGTTTTAGACTAATCAAAATTTACTTGTAATACTGAGCAATGCTTTTCAAATTTCTTGGGGTTGTACAGTCTTTCTGCATTGTATAATTTAACCTAACTTCCTTGAGGAACCTTTTCAGAAGCAGCTGTGCTGTTAGTGGAACAAATACTAGAGGACCTAGAACCTTGACCTATGACCTTGAGCAAATTACTTAATCTTTCTGGATTCAGAGAGGTGGACTAGATGACCTTTAAGGTTCTTTCCAGCTCTAAATCCAAGGGTTATATAATTCTTTGATTTTGTTTTTCTTCTGTGGAAGACTTTAAAAACTACTGCTCACTTTTGACTAATTTTCTAAGAAAGATAAATTTATATTGATTTAAAACATTTAACAATATAACTATCATTAGTCATCTTTGAGCATCACGTTTCAGAGCCTCCTAAACATATTCTGTGATTACTCAAAAAGATGCATAGGAAAACCAAAATAAATGAAGAATACTGATTGTCCAGAGATTGATATGCACTTCAATTGGCAACCAATACAGTTTGTCTCTCAGTTCATATATTTTAGACACTGCACATGCAAATGAAATTAGCCTGTAATTGAACAAAAGAAGCAAATGGGACTGAATGGCCTTTGGGAAACTGAATGGTATTTGTACCCAGTCTTCTCCCTAAATCAAAGGCTCATCTTTTTAATTCTAGTATTCCCCCAATGAAGAAATGTGACTTGAGGTCAATAGAATACCATGGTCATCAGGATCACCGAAAAATGGCAGTGGAGAAGCACACAGGCCTTCTTAGACAAGGTATCAATGAGGAACTACAAAGAAGTGCTGTGACTGCTGTCAGAGAAAGGGGTATAAAAGGAGAAAAGGGCTGGTCATGTAGAATGAGAGAGAACAGACAGAAAGTCTGTGTACTCACTTGGTTTCCATTTAGTGTGAAAAGATTTAAAGAGAAGCCCCCAGCATATCAGATGGACCACCCCTGCTGTGGTGAATTTAGGGAGGGTAGGCATGTATAAATTGCTTTTTGCTTTATTGATGGGAATGGCTACATTGTTAAGATTAGAGATTTATTTAAGTATTATCCTAAAATTATTTCTTAGTTTGCCTTTGTATTAGTAGACTTGGTATGTATTGTAATCCATAGTTTTATAAAAGTGGGCCCTCCTCTAACAATGAAGTCCATCCACACCTCTTCCTGTGTGACTCCACATTCTGTTGATATTGTATGGAGGCCTGAGGATTGTATGGATGCCGTGGTATGTTCATTGATTATGCCTTGTTCTCACTCATGACTGGCTAACCTCTTTTTCTGTCAAAAATCTTACTGAAAACATCCTTTATGATTCTTCTCCAGTGTGTACTATGTTACAGTGTCCCATACATCTCTGTTCATTGATTTTGGGGCTGCCCATTACTTTTTTGGAGACTGTGATATTATACAAATCAAAACTATGTATCACCAGAATAATATTAATGTTAAAAATATGAGCCTTATTTTTCATAGAGTAGCTTAGAATCATTAAATATTACCCAGTTTCCCAAAGATCTGAATTTGAATCCTGTCTCTGATATTAGCAGTGTGACAAGACATTTTAGCCCGTTTCCTCATCTGTAAAATGGGGATGATAATGGCAGTTCAATTAATGATGATAATTACAGGGTTGTTGTAAATATCAAAAGAAATAGTCATTATAAGGTGTTCTGTAAACTTTAGGATTGGCCTCTTGTTAAGACTGGCTTCACTTAATTTCCTGGCTTTCTCACCAGGTGCCCAGTGCCACCCAGACTAGAAACCAAGACCTGGCCAACTTAATGCTTCTAAAAGGGGAACTTGTGAGCAATCCTCATGTTGTATTGTTAACTTTCTTTTGCCTTCTGGGTTAATTAATAGAAGAATGTTAAAAATGGTATGTTCCCTCAGTTCCCTTTGTTGGTTATTGAACAAAGATCTCATAACCTGGAGTCCCCTTGAAGCTTGACTCTCCCTCATTCCTCAGTCTTGCCAGTTCTCCAGAAAATCTTCCCCATCAGTCTCCTGTCTACATAGGCAGCCAGCACCCAAGTTCAGGCCCTCCTAGTTTCTATCTGGGAGTATTTCAGTAGCCTCCCAATAGGTCTTGCTGCGCTAAGTCTTTTTCCTCTTTAATCCATCATCTGCACAGACATCTGCACAGACATCAGGGATGTTCCTAAAATGTAGATCTGATTATTATCATTCTTCTGTTCAAAAAATTCACTACAGCCTCTACCATCAAATACAGATTCTTCTGCTAGGTATTTAAAATCCTGCATTACCTGGCTCCAACCCTCATTTCCAGGCTTATTACATCATTTCACACATGCCATATTTCAGCTTAAATTGGCCTCCTTGCTGTAAGAAATCCCATCTTGGTTTCCCTGAGGCGTGGCGTGTCCAGCGCTCTCATTGTGCACTCCCGCCATGGTGTACTGTGACCAGGGCCAGAAGGTGAAGAAGGAGGTGGTGCAGCCCATCAACCTCATCTTCAGGTATCTGCAGAATTGGTCCCAAGTTCAGGTGTGGCTATATGAACAAGTAAATACGCGAATAGAGGGCTGCATAATTGGGTTCAATGAGTATATGAATCTTGTACTGGATGATGCAAAGGAAATTTGCTCTAAAACAAAGTCAAGGAAACAGCTTGGTAGGATCATGCCAAAAGGAGACAACATTACTCTACTACAGAGTGTCTCTAACTAGAAGTGTATGGTCAGTGACGTTAGAAGACACTCAGAAGGCAATACAGTTTTTTTCTTAGTTAAATTCTCTGGGCTTCAGAAGCCAGCTACACATTTTTCTGTGTTATTTTGATCTTCCTTTTATGGTATTATAACAATAAATTGGTTGCTCTGGGGTTTGTTTCTATTTAAAAAAAAAAAAGAAATCCTGTCTCCTGGTGTCTGTACCTCTGCACTGGCTGACCTGCCTCACTTGACCTTGTCAAATCCCTAATTTCCTCCAGACCTTATGCTCAAGTGCCATCTCCTACATGAAGCTTTTCCTGTTCACCTCAAGCTGTTCTCTCTTACCGTCTCCTCCAAAAGTACATGTTTACTTTATCGACATTTGGTATTTGTTTGCGTTTTTTAAAAATGTGATTCTTAGCATCCTCTGCCCCCCGTTTCCATTACTGATGAAGCAGAAGTGGAGTTAGGTCGGACTGAAACCATTTTGTGTTTTTCTTTGTTTTATGAATTGCCAAGGCTGAAGAATTCATCAGCAAATGGCTAGCTACTGGTGATGAACTTCTCTTTGCTTCACTAGTTGGGCCTCATAAAACAGACATATCTTGTCGCTGGGCCACTCAAATCCTTTTCTGTATGGCTAGAGCCTGCCATGGAACTGCGGAGTCTGGGCTCTGCTTTCAGAACCTTCAAGAACTTAGGGCTATGTATGCAGCTGAGTTAATCTCTCTTAATGTCCAAATGCATTTTCTGACCTTGAGAATACAGAAATAATTTCATTTCTTAGTGTGAACACAGACAAGTATCAATAATGCATTCATCCTTATTCTAAGTTTTTCTTATTTCTTTCTTAAATTTCGTTATTCTGAGGACTCTGTTAAAGATATGCATAGATATTTTGTGATGGTGTCGCAGTTGGCTGCTTTTTGAGACTGAACATTGAGCGTGCCAGATAGTCCAAATAAGTTCAGACTGGTTGGACAACAAGTGGGACGCCTGGTCTTGCACCTGCTCCTTACTGCTTTGAGGATTATTTTCACGAAAGTTCAGTGTGGTTGATGAGAGGTGACATGTTATAGATTTTGTTACTGAGATAGATAGGATGGAATTTTCTCATTTTTAAAAGTTAAGTATTTTTGGTAAATATGACATACCATAATTTTCTTTTGTCTACTTCAGATGTGTATGAAGCACAAATTATGTTCACTAATATTCCCCAGTGTGTCATAAACCTTTGAATATTATTAGTGTTCAAATACCATTAATAATATTACTTTGTCCACATAAAATATTTTACTACATTATAAACGATGTTAAACTTTTTATGATTTATAGTTCATACTGTAATATGTCCCTTAAATTTTTTTATGCACATAGATGCCGCTCTACGTTGTTCTCTTTCCTGTCTGATGATGACAGGATTCAAATTAGTCCCTGGGGGTTTTAGTTTACGAGCTATTCCTGTAAGAGTTTTCTTTTATTAGCTTTTTCAACTAATGTTTGGAAAGTATTCTAATATTGAATGTGTCAATAGTATCAGACCCTTCATAATAAAATCTGATTTTAATTTTTCTCGTGATCTTTTGAAACAAAATGTGGAAACGCTTTTGTGTAGACTCAAGTCTATGTTAGATACAGGTTTATTAAAAGAAAAACTTTACCTGTCACTTCATATGTTTAAGATTATATTAATGATGTTGTGCTTGATTTATGAAAATACATTGTGGTTTAGGATAGTTTAGCCTTGTGGTAATTCCTGTTCTAGAACTTTAATCTGAGTTAGCTTTAATAGTTTCATGATTAACAATTATGGTATAAAATTTAATGTAACTCAACTAAGCCATGGCTTCTTATGTAGTCTTACAAAATTACAGGTCAGAGCATGACTCTTAAATGTCTACAGACATTAATAATAATCAGTACATAAAGTGGGAGTTATCTTTGTGTTTGAACAGTGTTATAAGGAGATCCTATTACTTTAGGTTTGCTTTTAACGTAACTTGATTCATGTATGATAAATTTTATTTATTAACGAGTCTTAAAAATCTTAATACATAATTAAAAATATCCTTTTTTAAAAAGTGCTTTCCCGCTGTTTTTGTACAGTTTTGTAAGATGGACAGTACATTCAAATTTGTAAGATAGCATTCAATCAGTAAGCATTTATTAAGTATTTTGTTACAGGTGCTAAGTGCTGGGAATACAAAGAGGGGGGAGGGAGTTCCTGACCCCATTGAGCTTAGTATCAATGGGAAAGACAACATGGAAACAACTATGTACAAACAAGATACTAGAGGACAAATTGGAAATAATGTCAAAGGAAGGCACTAGCATTGAGAGGGACCAGTTGAGATTTCTTGCAGAAGGAATTTTAGTTGAGTCTTGAAAGAAGCTGGGGTTGGAGCTGTGGAGGGAGAACATTCCAGGCATGATAGATAACCAAGGAAAATGCATGGACTTGGGAGATAGGATGGGGAGCTGCAAGGAAGCCGGTGTTACTGGTTTGTGGATGGGAGTAAGATGTAAAGAGATAAAAATTATCCAAGTGTCCGTTGATTAAATACTGCAGTCAGTCACCAAGTCAACAATGCAGAGGTGGTTTTCTCCAGAGTTTTATTACACTCAGAGTGCAGGTTCCTCCGTATAAAATAAGTTAGCGAGCCCAGGGCATCAGCTTCAGCAGCCCTATACAGAATGTGAATATATAAGCAGCATAGAAAAATAGAATTCCATAGAAAGCAGGAGGGGAGGATAAGGATATACATGCCTGGAAACAAATAACAAAAGAGGGAAAATAAGGAAACCTGCCAAGTGGTAAAAACAGGAGCTGTGACTTCTTTCGTAGCCTTGATTCTGTAGATGTCGTGACCTTGGAGCCTCCAGGAGCAATGTCTGGAAGCTCAAAATAGAGACTGGAGTAGGGTCCTTTTCTCATCATAATAGTGGCAAGAGTTCAAACCAGAGTTTCTTTCCTACCACAGTCTTTTTCTTATCGCAGTGGCAACAAGAAGCCTAAGCCAGAAATTCTGTCACAGTAAGAATGTGCCAGGTTACAAACAGCTTTAAACACCAGAGAATTTTATCTTCAATCCTAGAGGTAATAGAGACTCTGCATTTTATTGACTAGGGGAGTGACATGGTCAGACCTGCACTTTAGGAGGATCATTTTGATAGCTGAAAGAAGGTGGAACCCAGTGAGGAGAGCCTTGAGATAGGAAGACTGACCAGAAAGCTATTCCTGCAGTAATCCAGTTTTGAGGTGATAAGATCTTCCAAAAGGGCAGTATCCGTGTCAGAGGAGAGAAAGGGGCATATGTGAGAAATGTTGTAATTGTAGAATCAATAGGACTTGGATTTGGGGAAGGGAGAGAGTGTGAGGATGACACCCACTTTGCAAGCCTGGGTTATTGAGAGAATAGTGATACCCTGGACAATAATGGGAAGTTAAGAAGAAGGGAGGTTTTGGTGAGGAAAGATAAGGACTTCCATTTTGGACATACTGCATTTAAGATGTCAAGGTGTTGCGGTGTAAGAGGTTGAGAGGTTGTGACCCCTCAAGGACTGGAATACAGGATGGGTCATCTGGAATGAATTCACAGACTCAAGCATTCTTTAATTCAAGGTGGCAAAGATTCATTGTTACGCTTTTCAGCAGGCGAGGATTCTTAAAGGATCCTGCGAGAGACTGAGAATGCAGCTAGGGTTTATATGGAAAAGAGCATGGGAAAGTAATGCCAGGGACACTGGTGAGGTGCAGGTGTCTTTGGGGGCTATGGATGGGAAAGCACAGGGAGTATACCGGACAGGGAGGGAGATGACAGAGGTATGGATCTTTGGAGTCTGGCAGGAGGAAGAGTCCTTGGACTGGCCAAGGACAAAACTCCTTGGGCTGGGCAAGGCACCCCACTCCCTCTGTCTTGATGAGAGAATGTTCTGCAACAAAGGAAAGCTTTCTTACAAGACAGGAACTACTAAGGAATTGGGAGACTTCCAGAGACATGATCAGAGGGATGGGGCCTGAGCCAGCCTAGCTCTGTGTAGCTATACCAGGGATAGAGATAATGGTCGTGCTGAGGCCCATGCATGAATAACTGCTAGGCACAGTGTCCTTGGGCTGGGGAGAAACTGTCAGGGATAGTGTTTCTGAGGCTAGGGAGAAATTGGGGTACAGGTACAAGCACAAGCACCCAAACACAAGTGCAAAAGCACCCCATCAAAGGCATCCAGTTCAACATATCCAGTAGGCAGTTAGAGATTCTAGATCAAAAGAAAAGAAGACTGGCTAAATTAATCTGAGAATCAGCTGCACAAGGATGATAGTTAAATTCATGAGAGCTGATTATATCACCAAAGGAAATGGTATAGAGGGAAAAGAGAAGAGGTCATAGCACAGAACCTTAGATGGACACCCGTGGTTAGCAGGCTTGACCTGGATGAAGGTGCATCAGAGGGCTCTGGAAAAGAATGATCAGAATGGTTGGAGAATCTCCCAGGAGAAAAGAGTGAGCAACAGTGCCTAATGCTGTAGAGAGGTTAAGAAGGATGAGGACTGAGAAAAGGACCTTAGATTTGGCATTTAAGAGATAGTTGGTAACTTTCGATATCATCCAAATATCATCATGAGTTGAATATCAGCATGAGAGTTCAGATGCAAGACGGCAGAGGCTTTAAGAAGAGAGTGAGAGGAAGAGAAAGGGAGGTACCAATTATAGTCAGCTTTCTCAAGGAGTTTAGCCACGAAAGGAAGGGGAAATACAGGATCGACACCAGCGGAAGGGAAGGATTAAATGACCAATTTTTGAGTGAAGGTCAGACAGGAACATATTTGTAGGCTTCAGGGAAGTAGCCAGTAAATATGAAGGGATTTTAAAGATTAATAAGAGTGTGGTATGCTACTGGGGGGCAATCTGCTGGAAGAGATGGGATGGGATGGGATCTTTTGTGCATTTGGAAGGGTTTTTGACTTTGACTTTTGAAAATGACCATCTACCTCTTCATGGGTAGAGGAGAAAATAG